GCGGTAGTGAGGCAGACAAACAAGGGCAGGGGTCAGGCATCTCCTCATCATCTCAAAGGAGCGACCTGTGCCACCCCACCTGAGAAGCACCTCGCACTGCCCTACACACCAGCCTGGCACGTTCACTTGCTTCTTGGTCAGGGCAAGGAGTGAACCACCACCGGGAGCTGATAACCTGGTAGCTGCTGACGTTGGGTACATCACTTAACCTTCCCATGCCTCAGTTTCTTCACCTGTAAGATGGGAAGATACTAGTACCCACTCCAGAAATTTGTTGTAAGGACGAAAGGAGAGGTTAAATAGACAAGCCTGAGGAGCGTGTCTGCCACCTGAGACCCCCCAGTAACCACCAGCTATCACGGAAGCGGGGTGCATGAGGGGCCCTGGAATTGGCTGAAATGTCTCCCTATTGTACCTGACAATTGTTTCTGCATTTGTTTTGGTATTGTAAGGAACTCTGTAGTGGATATCTTGATGCAGAGAACATTTGGGTTTCTTTCAGATTTTTTTCCTAGAAACTGAATTTCTGGAAACAGAATTGCTAGCCAAAAGGAAGGGATATTTTAGGCCCTTTGTTCTACTTTGTCTGTTTGCAGGACAGGCTGTAGGGGCCTCCCTGCTGCCAGCAAAAGCTGAAGGTATCACTTCCTTGAAGCCACATCAGTGGAAGTGTCCTGGAACTGTCATGAGTGTGGCTGACTAGCTCAGAGGTTACAGACCACAAAGAGAAGAGGACACTGCCATTTAAACATGAGCAGAGGGTTGGGAGTCTTTGAAGGAGCTGAAGCAGGGGCATTTGAGGGAGAAAATGCTGTCCCTCCTCCAAGCCCTAAGCCTTCAGAGGCGGGGGGCCACGAGGGCCTCAAAACAAAGAGACCAGTCCATGGTTGCAGGAGCTGAGTCAGGGTACAGCGCCCAACAAGCTCAGAGTGGGCTGTAGCACTGCTGCTCACTGCTAGGTGACTGTGGGGAAATGGAAAGCCTCTCCATGCCTCAGTTTCCCCATGTATGGAGCGGGTGTGACATTTTGCCTGTCTCCCAGGAATGGGGTGCCTGGGTGATGGACATGGACTGGAGGAACTGCCTGGGGTACCTTGGGGTTTTTTTTCCAGAAGCATCCACTGGCATGAATGGGCAGGAGCTAGGAGATGTCCTTCAATGTAAAAGGCAGTTTCAGAGAGGACTGGTGAAGCAGACAAGTCTCGAGCAGTGGTTATTGGAAAGCCTGAGCAATAGAGCAGGGTGAACGCAAGGTTAGGGCTAGGGAGATCTGAGTGTGGCCCTCTGAGCTCTGCTTCCTGCATTGTAAGGGGAGTTTGGGCAGGGAACCTCCAGCTTTGCAGCTGAGCTGACCTGTGCTCTCTGAGAACTGTACTCTTTATTTACAGTAAGCCTTTGGGAAAGGGACTGAAGAACTTTGGGCCTCGAATCCTCACATGTTAGAGAAAATATCACAGGGACACTGTAAAAGTCAAATGAGATTGAGGATGTTAAGCGGCTGATCCATGAGCAAGCTCATCACTTTGTGATTCAGGATTTGGCACTTAGCAGGAGGAAATGGGTGCCATGGAGACAGAGGAGGGGCTGATCAGGAAGTGGGGCTCCCCACGCCTTCACTTCTCCTTCAAGCACCATGCCCTGCGTGCCACAACATACCCAGTGCTGGCTTCTGGGCTGCGTAGCCTTGGGCAAGTTTCCTCATTCTTTGGCCTTCGTTTCCTTCTCTATGAAATGAAGACGATGATAGTACCTACCCCAGGGGGTCAGTGTGAGGATTAACGAAGTTGATTATATATATTGCTATGGCCAGGCCTGGCATGCAGGAAGAGTCAGTGATGGTAGCTTTTCTGTGGTTGTGCTCGTGGATCAGTGTAAGGGCTTGGATCTAGCACATAGTGGTTGAGCCCTTTTCTCTACTCACCAGCAGTGTGCCCTGGCCAGATCATTGCCCCCATGGCGGCCATCTGCAAGATGTAGGAGGTATGCCCACCATATAGGGATGCTGGGAGAGCCCCAGACCAAGCACAGTATGTGCTCAACATTGGTACTGAACCGCATGTTTGACCTACAACTTCATATTTACAAAACATTCTCATAAGCAATTGTTCAGACCCACTCCCCACAGCCTTCCAGTGGTGGGGGAATGCTCCTTGACAGAAGGTGTTTTAGTCAGCTTTCCATTGTTATAGGAAAATACCTGAGATAATCAACTTAAAAGGAAAAAGGTTTATTTTGGCTTATGGTTTCAGAGGTGTTAGTCCATGGTTTGTTGACTCTACTGCTCTTGGTTCTGTGGCAGCACAGTAAATCCTGGGTTGAATGAGTACATGGTACAGCATAGGTCCCAATATCCCCTTGAAGGATACACCCCCATGACTTAATATCCTCCCATAAAGCCTGTCTCCTAAAGGTTCCACCACTTCCCAGTAGTGCCATGGGCTCTATCACTGGGCCTTTGGAGAACATTCAATATCCAAACTACAGCAGAGGGGGAAGGAAACTTACCTTGGAGTATTCACTGTCCCATGCAGCCAGTCAGTATATGAAGGTGGTCAGATTCATTTGTTAAAACCAAAACAAATGCTTTTGTAAGAGACAGACAAAATATAAGGAAACCGAAGTGTTCAAAGTGAAAAGAATGAAAAGCATATAGTAGGTACTATATACAAATACTAACCAAAAGAAATCTAGATAGCTATATTAATATCAAAGTGAACCTTAAGCAAAAAATATTACTTTAGATAAAATTGGCCATCATATTTTAATAAAGGATCAAATAATAATTCTAAACTTGTATAGCTGGGCATTGTGGGGCACATCTGTAATCCCAGCACTCAGAAGGCTGAGGCAGGAGGATTGTTGTACTTTGAAGACCAGACTGGGCTACAAAATGAGCTCAAAGCCAGCCTAAACTGCATAGCGAGACCCTGTCTCAAAAACGTAAATAAATAAATAAATAAAATAAACTTGCATGTACCAAATAACTTAGCTTTAAAAATATGTAAAGTTGACAGAACTACAAGCAGAAATTAAAAAATAATTATAGTATAAAATGTGTAATGTACTGCAATCAATATTTGAAGATCAAATATATAAAAATCAATAGGGAAATATAATATTTTGAAAATAAAAATAAAAATTTTAATTTAATGAAAACAAAACACTACTTCCAACAACTAAAGAATACTTATTCCTTTCAAATATAGTAGAAAATTGAAAAAGTTGACTATGTACTGGAATAAGAAGCACGTATCAACATATTTCAAAAAATTACCTGAGAATAGAGAATAATACTCTGGCCACAACAAAATTAAGAAACAACAACAAAATCTTCACATATACATTTGCAAGCACATTTCTTAGTAGATCATGAATAAATGAAAAATAATTATGCACATTAGAAAATATTTTCAAGTTAACAATGAAAATACTGCACAGCAAAAATTAAGAGTGCACCTCCAAAGCTCTAGTTAGAGAAGGAATACATAGCCTTAACTGCTATGTATTTAAAATAAATTTGAAATTTAATGATCTAACCATCCAGTTCAGAAAATTAAATAGAACAACAAAATAAGCTGAAAGAGAGATAAAGGAAGAAAACAGTGGAGACAACAGCAGAAAATAATGGCAGGAAACAAATTGTTAATAAAGAAAAGAGCAAAAATTAGAGTTGTGTATTGGTGCCTTGTGCTTGTAATCCCAGGGACTCGGGAGACAAAAGTAAGAGTTCTACAAGTCTTTAAAGTATGTCCATGTGTTTTATAGCATCTCTCTGCATGATTAATATATTTTTAAAAATGCAGTGATTGACTGACATGTAACAAAAAATATGTCCCATTAGAGGAATTTTTGAGATGTTTATTGTCTTTTATTAATCTCTATGGTCTGCATTTGACTGTGAACATGCAATATTTCTGAAACAGTAGTAAATGGCCCTGAAGCTGTCCAGGAGAAAGAAGGTAGTTATTTCCCAGCCTTGAGATAGCTTTTCTTGGATAATTTTACTAATTTCCACTAGAATAACTCTCAAAGCCACCGGCTCCATCTGGAATGTTAATCCAAGGGCAGATACCTGCCTGCTTAGGCAAATATGTACACTGCTAACACAGAAAAGGCTACTCGGAGCCTCTGAAGGGCCAGATTGTGACCGTGAGGTCCAAGTGAAGGTGGGGCACTTTGCCTAGGGCGGGACAGCTAAACCCCAGGAGAGCTGGGTCTGCACAGAGCCTGCAGCAGTGGCCGGGCTGGGATGCGCCCACACACTGAAGCACCATGGGGGCTGGCTGCGTCCTTGCTCCAAAGCCCTACAGAATCAGGCTTCCAAGTCCATCACTGCCGTCTGACAGAATCTCAGAGAAGCCCAGTGTTCCCTCCTGTCTGTGCAAAAGGAGAAACAGGGACCTTGGTTCCCCCAGGCCGTCACTGTGTGTTCACAACTGACTCAAAGGCAAGGCAGAATAACTGGTGTCACCCTCCCTGTCCTTCCCCAGCCTGAGCAAGGCATGCTGTAGATGCTCAGGAATCATTTCACTAAGACTTGGAAGTAGAGGATCGGGTATAGATCCCTGGCCTAACATAGGTGAGGCCCTGGGTTTGATTTCCAGCATCAAAAAAGAAAAAGATTTGGAATTAGCCAACATTAACTGAGTTCTTACTATGAGCCAGCTTTTATCTATACATATACACATTTCATAACACTGAATTCTTCCAAGATTTGGAAATGTGGTATTCACCTCTATTTGTGGTTCACAGATGCTAAGTCACCTCCCAAAGGCACACAGCATGTTGGAGAGTTGGACTTGAATGTGAATCTCCTGCATATTCCTCCTTGTGGGTGGTGGGAAGAGGTGCCTTGTGCACATGGACTGATCCGGGTGGCCAGAGCAGGTCCGCAGTCCTTCCTACCCCACCATTCCCAGGGACCTGGGAAGCAAAGTAGAGAGGCTAATCTCTGGCCCCCGTGGCCACCTCAGGCCTGACCTGTGCTTATGTCTCCGCAGGAAGCTGTCTCTGTCCTGCACCACGTGCTCCAGCAACATCCTGAGTTGCTGCAAGAACCTGTGGGGGCTTCAGTTCCTCCAGAGACACCTGGGAGGTCCCTTGGAGGAGCAGGCTGAGGAGCCACTGTCTGAGAAGACTCAAACCACACCAGACCAAGAAGCAATGCCCTCTGGGGCTGTCTAGAGCTGCCCAAGGCCATGAAGATATTGGTCCTGGTCACCCAAATTTCACAGTGGAGCTCCTAAGGACTCAGCACTCACAGCCACTGAGGAAGAACCCTGGGGTGCCGTGATCCTCCAGCCCAGGGCAAACAGCCTGTTCTGTGCTCAGCATTTCCAGACAGGGGCTCAGGACTCCGCTGGGCTGAATTCCAGGGCTTCAAAGCTCACGTTGGTGCTGGCCCTACAAGTCATGTGCAGAGACAGTGGGACTTAACAGGATGTGTGTATGATGCATACATGTAGAAACATGCATGTCCTCAGAGCAGGGCAGAGGGTGCTGCTCTAAAGCACTGAGCTTTTACTCCCTTGTGGGGTCTGCAGGATGAAGGAAAGGAAAGGAAAGAAGAAAGGAAAGAAATGGAAAGGAAAGGGGTAGGGAAAGGAAGGAAATTGCATTCACAAACACTGCTATGTGTCAGGTATTTCACTTGAATGAGCTCACACAATTCTTATATGAGTGGTTAGGGTTAGAGCCACCATTCCCCCTTTACAGAAGTGGAAACTGAGGCTCAGAGAAGCACTGGGCCTGCTTGAGCCACTCACTTAGAAAGTGTACCTGGCACAGAGGAGGTACTAGGAAACTACCTGCTGAGTGAATAGGTGAGTGAGAGGGTGGATGGATGAATGGATGGGTGGATGGATGGATGGATGGGTGGATGGATGGATGGATGGGTGGATGGATGGATGGATGGATGGGTGGATGGATGGATGGATGGATGGATGGATGGATGGATGGGAGAATGAGGCAAAAGCCAGACATCACATCCATACTCTTGACACTACAATACACTGTCTTTCCGAAGAGAGGCCAAGATGTTTCTTTGACTCAGCCTACCCTCCTGCTAGCAGGCTCAGACCCTCCAGTCTGGGGATCCTGTCACACTAAAGACTCACAAGACCTCAGGTGCTTGTTATCAACAAAAATCTGTGTGCAGTGGACTCACTGGAGACAGCACGACTGTCTGGCATCAGGGAGGACAGGTGCAGGCGAGGAACTGCAGAGGCTGTGAATGGGGGAATTGACCCAGAAGTTCCCTCTACTGGCCACGTGACCTCAGACACATCACCTGACCCCTCTGAACAGCTCTCTCCTCCTCTGTTTGAGGAGCAAACACACTTTCCTATTGCTGGGATTATTGAAGAGACCCAAGGAGATGAGGGTGATGAGAGCTCAAGAAATATGAGGGTGTCGGTGGACTTCTCTGCCCCCAGGACTTCTTAGTGGCACCTTCTCAGTGACCCCACTCCTACCTGACACCCACACTTCTCTTGGCTTCCAAGATCCCATCCTGGTTTTCTCCCGCCTTGTCTACCCATGACTTGTCAAGCCTCTTTGTAACTCATCATCCTCTACCCAGCCGTTACACGTAGCCCTTCCCCATGCTGTCCTGAGCTTTGTCTCCTCGCTTCAATTTCTCTCCCTCTGTGGCCTTGTCTATACCCATGACTCGGCTCTGAGGCATGGGGTGATTACTTACAGATTTACAGCTGCAGGACAGGCTCCCAAGAGAATCTGTGGACCCTTCACTGCCTACACAACAACTCCACCTGGACGTTTCAAAGATGTCTCACCTTTAGTGTGTCCGTAACTACGCTCTTGACCTTCTCCCTACACCTGTTCCTCTCCTGATCTTCCCCTTCTCAGGTAAAAGCCCATTGTGTGCTTCAAAAAGTTAAGAGTCACCTTTGACACATCCCTTGCCTTGCTTCCCATAGTCAGCCCTCCCGAGTCCTAACCTCTACACGCATCCACCACCCAATAGAGTCTCCCCGTCTGCCCTGTGAGCTCTCTGTCCCACTGCCATGATTTCCACAGGGTGACTGGAACAGTTTCCTACATCCCTTCTCCGTGTTCCCCACTCCATTTCCTCCATTCCCCTCCTCCACCCAACAGCCACAGCAGGCCCTGCAAAGTGCACACACAGGATAAAACCATCTCTAACATGCGCCCTGGCCCTGCATGGTTGGCCTGCTGGTGTCCTTCCAGCCTCCTCCTGTAGCATTCTCCACCCTCCCTTCTCTTCACTTCATCCCTACCTGCTTTGTTATTTATTTATCTCACTCTGCTCTTTCCAGCATCCCAGTTACTCACAGTGCTATTCCCATGACTTGAAATGCCCTTCTTACTTGGGCCAGTTGACTCCATGAGATCTCAGCTAAAACGTCATTTCCGTGAGAAAGTCTTCCTTGTTCCTAAATACTAAAGCAGGCCCCTACCACACATCCTCAGAACTTTCCTTGGAAACTGTTGGCATGGTAGTAATGCCATTGTCACTTCCGTGATTTCTTGAAAACATCATCTGCCTCCCCGACTCATAAGTTCTTTCTGTTGATTGTTGTCTGTTTAGCCCCTGAAGATTATTGGTGACAGTAGGAGCTTAATGAATATCTGTTCAGCTTTTGAACAAAGAACATAAAGCATGCAGAGTCTGGTCAACGCCAACACTTAACCAACTTACCTGCCAATAAACCTGAAGGCATTATCTGCCTTCATAATCCCCAGAGATATTTAATTTCTAAGCTGAATTCCTTCTGGAAACCCAAAAACTGCCTCTCTGGAAGTTTTTGCAGAAGTCTGAGTCAGGTAGGTCTCTAAGTGATGGCCAAGGGCTGGGGATTTAGCTCAGCGGCAAAGCGCCTGCCTGGCAAGCGCAAGGTCGTGAGTTCGGTTCCTGGTACCGGAGAAAAACCGAAAAAAGAAAATCTAAGTGATGGCCAAGTAGTTGGAAGCATAAGACCTCCAGTGTCTGATCACAGACTTTGCTGGTCAGGGCTCCAACCTAAGGTGCTCATGGGCCACTTAGCACTGTAGAGGACTCCTGCAAGTCTGTGTCTGGCCTACGCCCTCCCTTCTGGAGGCCTCTGAGAGCCTCTGCTGGCTGCAGAAATTGAGTACGTGCTGCCTGGAGGAGGAACATCTGTGGTGGGACCCTGAATCAACGTCCTGTGTTACCATTGTGTCCCAATAAAGCTTTCAAGACAGATGCTGCCTTGTGGTTGTAGTTTTTTAACTTCCTGCTAAGGAAATATGAACTTCATCACATGGTGTCTTGATTTAGAAAAAGAGTTATGATAAGATTCTGGGGTAAAAGCCAAATTGTAAACTGCCTTAAAATTTAAGTAAGCTTTTCGGAAACTGCATTTCTTCTTGAAAGACCACATAAGAAGCCACAGAAAGGAAAAATCATGGATAAGAAGGGTACTATAAGGTCATATGCTGAGTGGACATGGATTTCTGAAAAAACATTCATTAACCTAGTACACCACCTAAAGTCTTCATTTACAGCTTAGGAAACTTAAGCCTTGAAAATAGAAGTGATTTGCTCAAGGTCACACAGTTTCTGACTCACCTGGTGAGCCAGGCACGTAGTAGGTACTGGGTGTTTGTGGTGTAGAATGTTTCCAAAATGGTCAGATGCAGAGATAACTTTTGCTGTACAGGAGAAAAGAACATCTTTAAAATGAAAAAATCTTGCCAATTAAGGAAGCCCACAATAGAGACAAGGTAGGTGGGGTGCAATCATGGATTTTGTACAAGGAATGAATCCCAGAGATAGCAATCAAAGGTTTTTGAGAAGGAAAGAAAAGAGCTTGTCAGAGTGAAGGACACCCTGGATAACCACAGCATCAACACAGCAGAGATGAAAGGCAGGGTCCTGGAGGGCGTAGAATTCTGAATTTTGGACACTGCAGAAGAGATAATTAAGATACACCTTGATGAATTTTCACAGGAAGCAGAGGAAGATGTTGAATAAGTCAAAGCCGACAGGAACTGCTCGGCTTAAAATAGCTTCTAATATATGTCAGGGAACAAAGACAAAGCTATGTGAAAGGAGACCGGGGAAAGGCAAAGGTAGCAAATTAAGTCAAGGGTCGTGTTAAGCTGTTCTTACCTGAACTGCTGACCTCTGATATATCCATGGATGTGATGGTTTGGAGGGGACTAAGTAGGGAAAACATTCAGGGCTGTAGCCCAGGAAATACAATTTCTAAAATCTTTTTTTCTGGCAGGTTCAGACTGCTCCAGTACGAAATGGAAGAGAAACAAATGCCCTCATTGGTAAATAGGCAAAGGACTGGAGGTGAGCAGGTGGAAGGGGACCTTAGAGACTGATACCCTACTGCAGGAAGTGTGGGGCCACAGCAGGCCTCCTGGTGGGCAGAAGGGGCCTCGGCCCCTGCATTCGAAAGTATGCTTCACGCTACAAGTAATGGGAAGCTGTGAAAGCTGTTAAGCAATAAGGGGTTAAAAATGATTAGGTCTGCACTATGAATAGCGTATTCAGACTCCATTTAGGAAAATAGATTGAGGGAATCAGAGAGCAGTAGAGAGAATATTGAGAACCCCACAGCAGGTGAGGGTCAATAGTGATACTTTATGATCTATTCATTGCAGACCTGTAATTACAGGACTGGGAACCCAAAGGAGCCAAGTGCGGTGTACCCTCCAAGAGATGGGTTTGTATCTGAACGTTACAAGGGGACCGGGTAAAGAATGGGGCATGGAAATGAATGGGTGATTGCCAAGGCCAGGAGGAAGGTACAGTGTGCAAGTGGGGGAAGATGTAGACCACAGTCCCGGGGAAGCTCTAGGGACGTGCTTCTGGAGCACACAGGGCCAGGCCACATTTAAACCCACTTTAGATGCAATATGGATACTAGGGACTTGCGCAGTAGCCCAGATGAAAGGACCTGTGCAAAACCCCTCTCGGCTGAGCTGGGTAAAATGAGGAACCCAATTCTACTGACTATGACTGAGCCCTTACAAAGTTCACTTGAGTCACCCAACTCTGTGTAGTCCTAAGACTGACTTCTGCGGGACAGTTTAGCCCCTCCTCATACAGAGAGAATGGTGCTTGGAGCACTTAGGTTCTTTCCATCACATACAAGCAAAAAGTGATCACCAAGAACAAAGTTCCTGCTAGAACTCCAAGATCCCACCAGAATTTCAAGCTTTCCAGTGAGAATTCAGGAATCCTTGCTGGTCACTAACAGCCTGCAAGGATCAATGATAAGAATTCCCCTCTGCCCCAACTACAGCCTTAATGGCTGGTAAATCATTATTCTGGAGGTCACTGCAGATGTCTGCACCATGACCCCAACCTCCCTTCTCAAGGTCACAGAGCACAGAGTTTCTCATGCCCTGTGTTGCTACCATGCTAGCCAGAGCACTTGCCTCACTCCATCACAACCTTCCACCCTGGGACTTTGCCAAAGTTCTCGTGTGTTCAATTGGCCTGGCAGGACTCCTTAGAAAATGGGAAATATGCAATCTAGATTGGTCGACTTCAAAATAAATCTGCCCATTACTTTCAACTGACATTTACGAGTCCTACACCTGAAGTTATGTGGGCCGTTCTGCAGATGCTGAGGCAGAAA